GAATAATTCTTTATTTCTATAAATTGAAACTAAAACTTTTCTTAGACACAATCATATTTTGAAAGGTGGGCATCCTCCTTGAATGTTCATTTCCATATTCTTAACCATGTTTCTTGGACATAATTGGTTTTGTGTAGAAGTACTATCTTAATTAGTATAATGGATGGAACATACATGAATTGATGAAGGTCTGCATCTAATAAGGTTAGGGATGAGTATTATTTTAAAATTGAAATACTGAAAAATTTTGGTTTTGATTTTTTCGGTTTGATTTTTGGATAATTTGGTTTTTAGTTTGATTTTCAGATTTAGAAATTTGGTTAACTGAAAAAATTGAATAACTAAAATTTATTATATAATATGTAACATTTAATATATAATATGCTATATATTTATATATTAATATATTATATATATTGTATTATAATGAAATTCAATTTCATAATATATTATAATAATATATATTATAGGTTATAATATATAATATTATATATATTATTTAAATTCGATTTTTAACTGAAATAACCGAAAACAAACCAAAAATTTTGATTCGGTTATTTTGATTTTATTATAAATCAGTTTTGGCTTGATTTTTCATTTTTTTTTTATTTTGATTTTAACAAATTCAGTTTATTCAATTCGATTTTTAACCGAATAAACCAAATGCTCACCCCTAAATAAGGTCTCAAATATATTTTGAAAGCCCTCTTGTTGTTTAGGTTTGAAGGTTTGAAACTCAAAGTTTTTTGGGCCATTTTAATAAAATATCTCAATAATAACAAAAACATATACTTAGCAGTATGATGTTTTTGGTTCAAGATTTATGCCTCCATATGAGTAACAAATCATGTATGGCTGACTTGTGATACTGTTTCAGGGTTCTGTTGAATTTGTATCTATTGGTGAAATCAAGCTCGGCCTCAATCAGTTTCTAACCGACTTTAGGGTTGGACCAAAGCTGCAGTTGTTAATATCTGAATTGGAAATTGTAACAAGGCATTCAAAAAAGAGTACAAAGAAGCCTAGTAGGCCTCGGTCCTCTCGGAAATCCCGTTCTGCAGGTGGAGGAGCGTGGATAGGTGTCACTAACGTGGCAAGGTTTTTGTCACTTTCTATTAATGAATTTATTGTTAAGGTAATTAAGCAACCTTTGGCTGAGCAATATTTGGGTCAATAATGTTGATCACTAGTTTATTTCAGTTCTTATGGATATATAAATTGGTACTACCCTTCTTTTCCTTTGTTTTTTTGTCTTGATTTTATTGCTTGATGAGTAACTTCAAATAAGCAAAATGAACTCAAGACCCTAGGGAAAGAGAACTAAAACAGAGAACAAGGGCAGCTATTGTTTTGGTTTTGTTATTTTCCTTCCAATTGGCTTCCTAACAAGTTTTCCTGCATAAATTAATCCTTCACATTCAATTTTCTTGTTTGGAACATGCTATTATTCACTTAGGAAAGACCGGCCCCAATACAAGGTTTGTAAAGGTTTTTCCACCTTTCCCTTCCTTTTCTTACTTTTTCCTTTAAATTAAACACAGACTTAGTGTGACTTTACAATAGGATTTTTCTACATAATCTTTTTCAATGATAGTAACATAAAAATGTATATCACCAGTGATGATGAAAAAATAGATATACACAGTAGTAGTAATATAAGATAAGTTTTATGCATGGGTCTATCTCTTTCTAATTTATATTAAGAACTAGCAAGTGATCACATGAAATGCATGAGACTGAATGAAAGTTTGGTCATGTACTCAGGTTTGGCGCAAATTTGGGTTTTGACATCCATTTTGATGCAGGCCAAGGTGCATGTTTAGGATTGGTCTTGTGCACTCTTGGCCCAATACTCTCCATTTAATTTATATCCCTTCTTCCTTATAAGGTCAAAACTCAAGAGTGGTTTATGCAGCCAAAAAAAAAAATACTCAAGAGTGGTTTAAAGAGATAAGAGGAAATCGGGGAGGAAGATATTACAAACATATAATATTGGAGAGAGAGAAAGAGACAGAGGGTTTTTATTAGAGAAAATTAGGAGGTAAGAGGGTTTTTATGATGAGTTCTTACATTTCTAATAATTTAATATAAAAAAATCACTTGTAAGAAATGAGAGAAAGAAGTGGTGAAAAGACTCTTGGCCTCTTGGGCCTCATAATGTGTAATTATTATTATTATTAGTTATCTTTATTATATGGGAAAATTTCTAATTAGTACCTTGTACTTTGTGTCTAGTGCTACTTTGATCATCAAACTTTAAAATGTGATAATTCAATATCTAAATTTTCAAAACGTGGCAATCTAGTACTTGCCATTAATCAGTAGTTAACCTGCCATTAAATGACATTTGAAAATGACACAAATGACCCAAATCCTTGTTTCTTCCATTCGAGAAAGTTGGGGTTACGTTTGAATGGGCATTTTGGTGACTCTAACTTTCTTGAATAGAAGAGGTAAGGATTTGGAACTATTAATTTTTTGTCAATGTTTGGATAGTTGGTAAAGAAAATTAGATGACACGCAAAAGGTATTTATGTATTTTTCAAATGTCACTTAACGGTTGATTAACGGCTAGTTAACGACAAGTACTGAATTGTCACATTTTGAAAATTTGGGTATTGAATTGTTGCATTTTAAAATTCGGAGGACCAAAGTAATATTAGACCCAAAGTACAGGGTACTAATCAGAATTTTTTCACTTTGATTGTGGTACAGGTCATAAAAATTAAATTTAATTACACAATATTAACATATAATTTTATTAAGTTTGATTACTAGATATATTTATTATAATACCGGTTGGTTGGTAACATTTTTTTTAGATATCATGTGTTTTCATGTATCTAGTCAACCCCATTAGGGATATGGCAATAGATCATATGTGGAATCACTGAACACTTGGTATGACATACAGATCCACCTATCTATCCGTGTTGGGATCTTCTGCCAACAAAATGATATCGGATCTGCTGCCCACAGAGCACACTCCACAGCCCATTCCATGCATTGGGAACGTCTCCGATGCGTATCATGGAGAGATACTCTCAATACACGGATGGGATGGGCTGTCGGGTGCCAATGGGACGTGCTATGTGGGCGGCTGATCCTGTCTCCCAACAAAACACGTTCCCACACTCTACCCACTTGATCTGACACCGCACATCTTACCATGAAACTGGAGCCATGTATGAGATATATGGTGTCAGAGGATGTTGGTAGGGTATTGGAATGTACATTGTTGGCAAGTAGATAATCGGGACTCATCTAAACCACTTCTTCTTAGGGGTTTTTATAGCTCAGTCCACCTCAAAAATCTGAAGAGGTTTTTATAGTTCAATCCACCCCTAGGGTGGAGCTAGGATATATAGGGGTGGACTGAATCATTCCCGTGGATTGATGCCAAATTCATGAGTAGGATGTGATTTATAAGGGGGCTATTAGTAAATTAGGAGGGAGCTGCAATTCAGAATTTTGAGGTGGATTATAGCCCATTTATCTCAAATCTGAATTCCATCGTATTGATGGGATGAATCCTATCCATGGATGTGGTTTATAGGGGCTATTAATAGAATAATAGAGACTGTAATTTCAGATTTCTCAAGTGCACTGTCCCTTCTTATTAATGGTTCGCTGGCTATAATTACTCGATTCAGCAGAATGAGAACCTCTCTATCTCCTACTCACTTTTCCTGCCCTCTCTATTCGTCGTGAATCGGAGACGTGTGGCTCCAATTCACGGCGAATAGAGAGTGGGCGGCTCCAATTCACGGTGGGTAGAGAATGAGTAGGAAATTCCGAATGGTCTGTCACCTGTCTGCCGTGATTTGGAGTCACACGTCTCTAGGGAGTGTGTAGGAAGGTAGGAAATCCCGAGTGGTCTGCCACCTGTGCTCTAGGCTGAGGCTCCTTGGTGTGATATCAATTTCATCACGGTGTATCCGCCTTCCTCTCATCAGTCTGATAACTAATTCGTGAATGTCCACCTCCAGAGTGGTGGCACACTTGAGAGGACACAGACATCTCAAACCCGTCAAGAGAGCTCAGATAAAAAACGGATTTGGCATACCAACTGGCTAGAATATTACCAGAAGAATCTCATCCTCATGACTACTGAATGCCCCTCGAACTCCTGCATGTCCTGTCTCACCCAAAGAGCAACCACTAAAATTGAGTGTAGTTGCTCCTTGGGATGCAGGAGACCAAGTCAGTCGGGGTCATTCTTCCACAATATCTGTTGTATTGAAGTCTCTGAACTCTCTAACGAGCTGCTGATGTTCCTCTTCTTGGAATGCTCTTTACCATGAACAAAATCTCAGTTGGATGATGAATTGTTCTCTACCTGAACCCAAACCCTAATTTTTATATATCCCCAAAAAATGATTGAAGAACCTCACCCACAGCCACAAAACTTTACCTCTTTTACTAAGGCACTTCAGTTTCCAGCTATGGGAAGAACCCCTGATGGAGAATGGGAAAACACAATGGACGCCAACAAAGGCTATTTGGGTGAAATCATAATGCAAGAATGGGTGGTTAGCAGACTATTTGACCTTTCTACAAAGGCTACATATGGTATCCTTCAGTAACATTTCCCTCCCAACTAGCTGATTCTTGTGCTCTTACCAAGCATGGCGGTCCACAACAAAAAATACTTTTGATGGCACCCTATGCTTTCAAAATGTGTTTTGTTGTTAGCTCTTTCTAGTTCTCTGTTTTTCACCATC